TTACATATTCTCCGTCACTAATACATGTTCAAATCAGAGCCGGATACTCTTGAATCCCTTATTTGCATAGAAGCCCTATAAAAGCAGAGACTCCAGACGCAAGGTGCCATTAGAGTATATATATTTTCCTAGTCGTTGTTGGTTTTTGGCGACATGCCTGAGCCAGCGAAGTCTTGGCCTTGGCGCGAGCTTTGCCTCCTTGCTTCCCACGTCCAGACATGTTGGTCTAACAACAATAAGAAAGGATAGAGCCAGAGAAAAGCAAAAAAGGAATGTGCTGAAAGGAGCAGTAAGAAGGTAGTTATAGTGGTGGGTGGAAGTGTAAAACGTGAGTTTTGATTGGTTAAAATTATGTTTTCACTAGCTAACCAATAAGAAAGGAGATATGATGCAATGTAATTTACATATTCTCCGTCACTAATACATGTTCAAATCAGAGCCGGATACTCTTGAATCCCTTATTTGCATAGAAGCCCTATAAAAGCAGAGACTCCAGACGCAAGGTGCCATTAGAGTATATATATTTTCCTAGTCGTTGTTGGTTTTTGGCGACATGCCTGAGCCAGCGAAGTCTGCTCCTGCCCCGAAGAAGGGCTCCAAGAAGGCGGTGACCAAGGCGCAGAAGAAGGACGGCAAGAAGCGCAAGCGCAGCCGCAAGGAGAGCTACTCCGTGTACGTGTACAAGGTGCTGAAGCAGGTCCACCCCGACACCGGCATCTCGTCCAAGGCCATGGGCATCATGAACTCCTTCGTGAACGACATCTTCGAGCGCATCGCGGGGGAGGCGTCGCGGCTGGCGCATTACAACAAGCGCTCGACCATCACGTCCAGGGAGATCCAGACGGCCGTGCGCCTGCTGCTGCCCGGGGAGCTGGCCAAGCACGCCGTGTCCGAGGGCACCAAGGCCGTCACCAAGTACACCAGCTCCAAGTGAACAGCTTCTCTAATATATAAAACCAAAGGCTCTTTTCAGAGCCACTCAGGTTGTCATGTGAAGAGTTGTAATACGTTTTGTTATTGACGTTAAGTTGTCTTGGGAAAAGTGAGGATGCAGGCACATCTTTTAAAGTCAAATGCTGTTCCAAAACAGTTCATGCTGTTCCAAAAACGGTTTTGCTAGGTGTCCAGTCTTTTCACATTGGTTAAAGACGTTACTTGGTTATTCTGCTGTGAAGGGTCAACCACCCAGCAAGTTTGGGGTCTTGTGTACGCGATTGTCATTGCTCACATTCTTGGTTTCATCAGTTGTCTCAAAGCCATTCCCATTGGGCGTCCCGCCTGCTCTCAAGCCACTTTTTCTCATGCTGTGATGATGTGCTGTACTATGGCTTTAGGCCTTAGCACACCTGCAACCCAACTCTTATTTGTCAAATATTCTCTGATGGAATTCCCTCAAACTTCAGAACACTTGTGTTTTGGAGGACTTCGGGGTCGTGTGAGTGAAACTGGTTGAGTCGGTTGGGGAGGTGGCATTGGCTTGCCCTGCTCCCAAATGTTTATGCTATACTCGTCCAACTCATCCAGAAGTTTTTATAATGGGTTAGGGGTGATAAACCCTTTATATGCTTGCTTTTGTTTTTAATGATCTGGTGTGTCATGTCAGGAAATGGATGATTCTTGAAACTTTCATTTTTAGCAAAGGATGTCTATTTGGCCATTTAAGTTTAAAAGTTCATGCACTATTTATATATGCTTTATAGATACTTTTAATTTTTAAAAATTTTATATTGCATGTTCTATGAATACTCACTTGCTACTGCTCTGTAGTTTATTTTATAGAAAATGCAGTTAATTCATCTGAATGTGAAAGACATTTCTTGCAGCAAGTAAATAGTGTGGTATTGTTGATTTCTGTTAGCGAAATAGAAATTGGGTGGGGTAGGTGAACTGAAATTCTGGTTTTGGTCTACTATTGTGATTAACAAAGTACATAAATAGTATTTTAGATAGTATATGATACATTTCAAATTGTCTTTTCTCTGTCACTTCTTTCTTCTCAATCTCCTCCCAAATCATCCCTTCCATTACTTTGATGTTCAGTTCACAAGCAATGAGACCAACTCTCAGTTCCTTGCTTCCTGAGCCTCTGTACATAGCAGCTCACAAAATGGCAGTGGGTTTCCCTTAGAGCTAGAAAGAGAGTGAAGAAGATGGAATCCAAAGTCCTTTTGTAACTCAATCTTATAAGTTAAATTCCATGATTTCTGTTAGATTTTATTCATTAGAAACAAATCAGGGCCGGCCCATGGCTCACTCGATAGAGTGCGGTGCTGATAACACCAAGGCCGCGGGTTCGGATCCTATAAAGGGATGGCCGGTTTGCTCACTGGCTGAGCGTGGTGCTGACACCACCAAGCCAAGGGTTGAGATCCCCTTACCGGTCATCTTTAAAAAAAAAAAAAAAAGAAAGAAAAGAAACAAATCAAAACTTCATTCTACACTCAAGCAGATTGTGTAAGGTAAGAGGAAACTGGGATCCTTGGGAGTCATCTTCGAGGCTGCCTGCCAACGTGACCACTAGAATAAAGTTGAAATGATGGCATGTCATTTCCAAGATTTGGTTAAAAAAGACAGTGCCTTTTTCTTTTGGTTCTCTTTCTCTCTGGGATTACTGTGGGGGGAAGCTAGCTGCCTACTTGTGAGAAGCTGATGATAGAGGGGCCCATGTTATCAGAAAGTTAGGCTCTACTTCTTACCTTGTGTTCTCCTCGCCACCTACTTTATGGTAAAGTGGCTGAGACTCTACACCACATCCATTCATTTATTCATTCATTTACTGACTTTTTTTTTTTTTTTTTTTTTTTTGCCAGCTGGTTGCCAGTTAGTCTACACAAATAGTAAACACTAGGGAGGCAGAGAGGGTAAGAGAAAGAACTCTCTCTTCCCATCAGTACACTCCCAGCAATGTCCTTCATCTTGGCATCAGCAATTGGGTCTACTTCCCAGGTTATTCCTTTGCACTCTGAGAGTCATCTTTATCACACCCTCTCAGAGTTCTGAGTTCTAGCTGCCCCAGACCTACCCTTCAAGCACCTAGTTTTTCATTTTGTGTCCCCAGTCTTACATTTGATTCCTGCTGCTGTCTCTGGAATACCTCAGATCTACTTTTGCTTTCCATCCTCCTAATACTTTTGCAACTTCCATTAGATTATCTTTCAAAAAAAAAAAAAAAAAAAACCCTTAAAGCTAGAAAAAATGTAAATTACTAATCTTAAGGTCACCGAAATTTCAAAATTATGAGAGCCTGTGATATTTAGGAAGAATTTATATGCATCCATAATTTTGATAGTATTTACATATTCAAACTCAAGTGTACATGTGTATTCTTAATGTTATTGAATACATTAATAATTCTTAAACCTGAAAAAAATAATAATAATTCTTAAACCTGTATGGCTGTATTAAGTTTCCCATTGCTCATCTGAAAAACTAAGGTCAAGGTGTGGGCACTAGGAAAAGTGATTACCAAGCTTCCTAAATTTTCTTTACTTTTCATGGAACCATTATAGGGGTATGTTACAACACAATTTCAATAGAAGAGAAACTTGGAGTGACAACACTTTTGTCAGCCTTGCACCCAAAGTAGACAGAAGTGAGACAGCCATCCTATCACTCTGTAATTATGGTCCTCTGCTTTCAACCAGTCAGAAGACTTGAGTATCTCGAGGTGCCAGCACCACATAGCACATCAATCAATTTTGTTTGGTAATCGCTGAAAATATGTCATACAACTCTTATTCTGAGAAAGGAAGTGACCCTTAAAGAGTTTTTGGGGTAGGGTATGAAGATGTTCTGTGTTACATTTACTTGGAGCTAGCGTACTTGGTGACAGCCTTAGTGCCCTCGGACACGACATGTCTGCCTAACTCTCCAGGTAGCAAAATGCACACAGCCATCCAAATCTCCCTGGACGTGATGGTCGAGCGCTTGTTGTAATGCGCCAGCCACGAGGCCTCCCCCGCGATGCGCTCGAAGATGTCGTTCGCGAAGGAGTTCATGATGCCCATGGCCTTGGACGAGATGCCGGTGTCGGGTGGACCTGCTTTAGCACCTTGTACACGTACACGGAGTAGCTCTCCTTGCGGCTGCTCCTTGGTCACCACCTTCTGAAAGCCCTTCGGGACAAGAGCAGACTTCGCCGGCTTAGACATAACAATAACCCACGCTTGTAAGCTATAGAGATATAAAATATTTTCTTTCTCAAATTCTGGTATTATTCCTAGGGCTCCTATGCAAATGTGGTGTTTACACACTTAGATTTTGATTGGGTAAACTGTCCCCAGCTGTACCGTCGTATGCAAATTAGGTGATTCCAGTTCTACTTTGCAATTGGTTGCAATATTTAAGATCATTTTAGCCAATCGACAGGCATAAGTTGCAATTCCGATTGCAAGTATAATTGCTTCTCATTTGCTAAGACGATTTGTATCTACGTGTCTTTTCCCGTTGCTGTGCTGCTTTGTTAGAGCCACAAAATGTCTGGTCGCGGCAAGCAAGGTGGGAAAGCTCGCGCCAAGGCTAAGACGCGTTCTTCCAGAGCTGGGCTCCAGTTTCCGGTTGGCCGAGTTCACCGTCTGCTCCGTAAAGCGCTTCTTGCCGTCCTTCTTCTGCGCCTTGGTCACCGCCTTCTTCGAGCCCTTCTTCGGGGCAGGAGCGGATTTCGCAGGATCTGGCATGGCAGAAATTAACTAAGAGTGGAAAAAAACCGAGAAGAAAGAAGACGACAGGAGTAGGAGCACTGTCTATGTACAGCTACTTATGCAAATGAGGTGATTAGTCAACTCTTGAGTCTGATTGGTGAGGGTTCTAGATGACGTCATACACAACCTTTGTCCAATCACAAGAAGTGTATTTAAAATTAGTAGTTCCATTGGTCTAAGTAAAAGAACGTATAGTTTTAGCCAATGGCATAGCTTCACTTTCGCGCCCAGTAATGAGACTATAAGTAGTGCTGCTCTGGCTAACTCGCTTTACCCCATTCATTTCTGTGGTTAGCTATCATGTCTGGACGTGGCAAGCAGGGCGGCAAAGCACGGGCTAAGGCCAAGACCCGCTCTTCCCGGGCAGGACTACAATTCCCCGTGGGCCGTGTGCACCGCCTGCTCCGCAAGGGCAACTACGCCGAGCGGGTGGGAGCCGGCGCGCCGGTGTACCTGGCGGCGGTGCTGGAGTATCTGACCGCCGAGATCCTTGAGCTGGCGGGCAACGCGGCCCGCGACAACAAGAAGACGCGCATCATCCCGCGCCACCTGCAGCTGGCCATCCGCAACGACGAGGAGCTCAACAAGCTGCTGGGTAAAGTCACCATCGCGCAGGGCGGCGTCCTGCCCAACATCCAGGCCGTGCTGCTGCCCAAGAAGACCGAGAGTCACCACAAAGCCAAGGGCAAGTAAGCTGGGAAAATCAGTATCTTAGGCTTTGAAGGATTCAGTTTTAACCAAAGGCTCTTTTCAGAGCCACCCACGTATTCATTAAAAGAGCTTACATTTTCTTAACTCTGCAGTGAACCTTAACGTAATTCTTCCACTCTGTAGTTCAACTATTTTCACTCAGAAACGTGAAACGAAGCATTTTAAAGTTTAAAAAGTAAGGAAAACAGAAAGGAAAAGCTTGTATCACAGATAATTAACGTTGGCCGTTACTGTAGTTTCTCAGGATTGTAAAAATTAAACAATTGGAAATATAATGGGAATACTAATGATTGGCCAATGTTTAAGATGTGCATCTAGTTAGTGACCTACAGAGTAATAAATCTGCGCCTTTGTCGTGTTACCCTTCGGGAAGAATTGTTCTGCATCCTAATGGGACAAAATCATCTGCACTTAAACGATGTTTTGTGTTTTTTTGAGAAGCCAGCCACCCTAACTGTAAATAGGAATACAGAACTACATTCCCTGGACTCAGATCGCCCTGAGGCAGAGCTTGTTGAGTTCAGGATGATTTTGATAGGGCGTACAGTAATTGTGACACTTATAAAGTCTGGGTTTTTTTTTTTTTACACACCGATTTACACGAGTTGGATCGTAAAAGAAAGAGTACTTTTATGTGAGGATCCTACATTTTAGTGAAAAAGTATGTTAACAGTTTAATAACAGGTGTGGCATTTTTACTTCAGTTAATGGTCATGGTGCACTGAGAACAAGTCTTTAGAAAAAAAAACCCAAAGTTTAAATGAAGCCAAGATATGGTGGAAGCCTTCCTAAACTTCAGTAAGGGTAAAACAAGTCACTTGGCCAATATTATATATGGCGTGCGTCTTTTCAAAAAGATTACCAAAATAAAGTCAGTTGCAAGGGTCAACATTTAAATATTTTATGTAGCAAGCAAGATGATATCATCTTAGTAACTACATAAAATTCTAGGGAAAAAAGCCAACTTTTTAAATGAGACGTACAAAAGACGGCACAGAAAGGGTTGAAAACACCAGCATTTTAAAGGAGAGGAATAGAAGATGTTAATATCTGCCTGTGGCTGCAGACCTTTGGCTCTAGTGTCAGTCGAAATGGCTCGCACCAAGCAGACGGCTCGCAAGTCCACCGGCGGCAAGGCGCCCCGCAAGCAGCTCGCCACCAAGGCAGCCCGCAAGAGCGCGCCGGCCACCGGCGGCGTCAAGAAGCCCCACCGCTACCGGCCCGGCACCGTGGCCCTGCGCGAGATCCGCCGCTACCAGAAGTCCACCGAGCTGCTGATCCGCAAGCTGCCGTTCCAGCGCCTGGTGCGCGAGATCGCGCAGGACTTCAAGACCGACCTGCGCTTCCAGAGCTCGGCCGTGATGGCGCTGCAGGAGGCCTGCGAGGCCTACCTGGTGGGGCTGTTTGAGGACACCAACCTGTGTGCCATCCACGCCAAGCGCGTCACCATCATGCCCAAGGACATCCAGCTCGCTCGCCGCATCCGTGGGGAAAGGGCGTAAGTTACGTTCCTGCGTTGAGTGACAACCGTAAACCCAAAGGCTCTTTTCAGAGCCAACCACCTTTTCTATAAAAGTGCTGTGTACTGTAAGTAAATGTTTTTACTTCTGTTCCTTCCACAGTCCCCGGAATTGGTATCGAAAGCTTTTTTTTTTTTTTTTTTTTTTTTTTTTTTTTTTTTTTTT